ACTGATTGGTGCCGCACTACTGTCCAGTGAGAGCTGACGTTAAAGATCTCCTATCATGCTATTTTTACCACAAACCACATCAAGGATTATCTCTGAAACAGTATGGAGCTCAAACTCTTTCTCTCTCTCAGGTTTACCACAAGGTGAGTTCCTTTGTATTCCCTGCTTCTTTACACATGCTCTCTCCAGTACAGGTTAGCTCTGAGTGTTAGCCATCCTAATGTAAACAAAGACCATATTACGTCCAAAACACGTCTCATTGTTTCTGATAGCAACGTTTCTGATTGGCCAGTGGGTGTAAAGCCCGCCCACATTTTAGTAATGTCGTCATGACGCAGCAAATCTGGATCAGCTCCGTTGTTCCCCCGTTTTTAGAGATGTGGGTACGGAGGAAAAGAGAGAGGGTTTTGTTTTCTGACACTTCCCAGACACACCGGGGACATCTTGATGTAGAAAAGACATCAGAAAGTGCATTTTGCATGATAGGAGACCTTTGAAGCTGTTCACAAACACTAGTACCATGTCCATGTATCTCCTGCTCACCTGGTGATGAGCTCCTCTGCAGCGCGGGCACACAGCTGCACCTGAGCAGCTTCTTCTTCTGTAGCCAGATCCACAGACTGCTGAGGGTACAGGTGAGGTCTCAGAGGGGCCTTATCGTACTTCAGCTTATCCTCCCACGACTTCAACGTGTTCTCAAACGCCTGCGGGGGAAAGTCAGAGAATGAGTACATATCATGTACACTTCTGCAGTTAAACAGCCCCTCCCTCCTTCCCTCTCTCCCTCCTTCCCTCCTTCCCTCTGTCCTCCTCCCTTCCTCACCCGGTCTCTGGTGAGCATCTGGGCCCGGTTCTTGTGTTGGATCTTGATGACTCCAGGCGGCTGGATCCAGGCCTCTCCGTCCACCTGGATGGGAACGCCCTCATCTCCCAGGATGGTGATCTTCACTGTTCGACACTGATCCAGAAACACAAACGCTTCAGTTAGATGTGCATATTCTTAAACTTATCAGTATTTTCTCCTGTGTTATTGATTAGTGTGTGTTCTGACCTGTGCGATGCGGTGGTGCTGCAGCTTGATGACTCGGGACACGGCCATCTGCATGCTCCCAAACACAGCCACCACCTCCAGGATCTTATCATCAAAAGAGGGGGCACAGAAGATCTGCAGGACACAACGAAGACATTAAGAAACTGATTGTACCGTGATGCATCTATTCATTGTTTACTTTACAACCAATCATTTGAACCTCTCTTGAAACGCAGGCTGGTGTTTTGCTATATGATATTTAAACCCATGTAACATTTAAAAAACCGTGAGCTAAGTGGGCTTCAAAAACTAGTATTTTAAATATTTGATATGTTCTACTTAAGGCGGCAAGTAACTATTTTAGTTAATTTTTTATGGATTGTTTCTCAAAGTCCAAGGTGATGTCTTGATTGGTCAGACCATCACACATATATATTTACATAGTGTAATATTAAACAGGAAAAAGCCAGAAATCAACATATTTGGGGCTGAAAAGACAATTTCTTCCAATTTAAAGTGGACCTATTATGCTATATTTGAATAATATAGTGTAGGACCATGTATATAAGGCATATTTATACTTTTTTTTTTTCAAAATACCAAACACAGCATGCATTTTAGCCATGCCTCATTTTGCTCAATTTGACAATTTCTAGCTCTGTTTTAGCAAGGGCTGATTCTGTGAGAACAGCACCACCTACAGGCCTGGCATATGTACTACAGCGTCTCCAGTGCTTTCGAACGGCAATGGCCGTGGCTGTCTCCTCCTGATTGGTGGAGTTGGCCCAATAGCCGTAGCGCCACCGTCCTGACGTCAGGACAGTGTTCAAATCTGGATCAGTTTTTATCAGATCCGTTGCAGCCCCTTTTTTAGAGATTTGGGTATGGAGGAAAATAGAGAGGGTTGTGTTTTCTGACACTTGGTGAGTTCCCTGGAACACCGGGGACACATATTCATGTAGACAAGACGTACAAAAGTGCATTTTGCATGATAGGTCCCCTTTAAGCAATTACAATATTGTTGATTGACACATCAATTAGTAGAATAATCATTGCACCTCTACCTCCATGTATTTCAATTAATGTCTAATGTCGATAACAAACACAGACTTGTAGAATTAATAGAAATAAAATATTGAAATTGCTTAAATTGACGATATTGGTTAGTAGAAAATATTAAAATATGGAGCTGTCATTCCACAGGAAAAAGCAGGATGAATGACGACACACTCGCTGAAAATATAAGAACTATAAAATATCCCCAGGCGCATCCTTTAATGTAATTGTGACAGGGAGGATTTGATAGCCTATATTACTGCCCTTCTTCTATGTCCATAAAGTGTTTCTGAAAGGAGACGCTCCACACAGCTCTGATATTGATCTCTGCTACAGAGAAAAGGTCAAAGCAATGACGAGTCAGCATCTTCATAGACAGAAGCTCAGCAAAAATGGATAGGAAACATTCCCCTGAGAATAGATGAGGATCAAACAACACGATCAGATGTGTTGTCATGTGAGGGCCAGGACACTAGATGGAAACCACGACAGAAAAAACCATCAGTACTGCATCTACACAGTCACCGTGAACAATTTGAACACAAAACAGGTACATCTATTTGATTATTAATACACATTATAATATATATTAGTGTGTCTGCATGCTAAGTTTAACTGAATGTCCTCCGCCTGTTTCCTCCTCTCCTAACAGTTAGATAACAGCAAATGCACATACTTTACGTCCAAGGGTAACCTCTGCAGGGCTCACTGAGGGGTGTGTGTGTGTGTGTGTGTGTGTGTGTGTGTGTGTGTGTGTGTGTGTGTGTGTGTGTGTGTGTGTGTGTGTGTGTGTGTGTGCGTGTGTGTGTACTCACGTCGTCCTCCTTGGTGCCGCCCCAGAAGTTGGTCCCTCCTGCGTAGCTGGGAATGTTTAAAACTGCGATGCCCTGCAGGCTGGGGAGGGGGATGTACTGACCGTCACACTGGAGGAGAAACAGGAGAAACAAAGATGGCGTAAGAGAAGAAACAGGTAGGATGTCTGCAGGTTTCATCAACAGTAAATATATTTTTGATACCTTCAGTTGTACAGCAGCAGAGATGGGAAGTAACTAAGTACATTTACTCAAGTACTGTAACTTAAGTACACTTTTGAGTGTACACAATATCTTAATTTTTGTAATAATATATTTGATTCCAATTCCACTTCTACTTTTGGTACTTTCACTATATTTTGATGAGAATACTTTTCTACTTTTACTTGAGGAACATTTTGAATGCAGGACTTTTACTGTAACAGAGTATTCCTACACTCTGGTACTTCTACTTTTACTCAAGTACAAGATCTGAGTGCTTCTACTTTTACTCAAGAACAAGATCTGAGTACTTCTTGCATCTCTGTACAGCAGAAGCAATGAGCTGCAAACTAAACGTATATCTGAGTAAACATAACCATATTTCTATAAGTTACAATGGGCATTAACGACAGGTATTGATACTGATTGATTTCAGTTAAAGTGTTCTCCCTCACCTCCAGCTGGACCTTCTGCTCCAGGTTCTTGTAGGTTCTCTGCAGAAGTTCCTTAGTTCCCAGAACACCGTACCACATCATGTTCTTAGTGCGACTCCTGAGAGGAATGGAGCAGAGGGTGAGATTAGCATGTTAACTGAACTTAAAAGACCTTCAAGATTCTCTCAGTGCCTGGAAAAGAATGCTCGTTTGACACCAGACGGAACAACAGATGGAAGTAGTGCAATTATAAACTAGTACGAATATGAATTGTTTGTAGGAATGCACATTGATATTGGCAGGTTTTTGGAGTCCACAGATAAAGACTCTTACATGGAATATTAGCATGTTAGATAAATACAAATAAAATAATATTTTACACATAACCTACGCTGCAAGTCGTTTTTTCTAATTTCGACGAGTAAATGTGCACATTTAAAAAATAGAATAGTATTTTTTGTGTGCATCTGCAAATCATGGTAACAGTAGATATGATATTATGTCCGTAAATATGTATGAGGATCGGCTAAAACTAGATGGAAAATATCTGCAATAATCCAACATTGTCCAAATTGAAAGGATTAATAGTGGATTATATCCTGCAGGGATTATATTTCTTCACATTCAGAACATAATATTAGCTTTACTGATCATTAGATATACAATATTGGGATGAATAAGCATATTTTGGACACCATGCCAAGTATAATATCTGTTGCTTGATGGCTGGGAGGATCAGAAATGTGTCTCACCTGCATTTCTCTGGATGCTCCTCTCGCTTGTTGTTGAACTCCAGAGAGATCTTAGCATCCAGGCCGATACCGAAGTAGTTGTTCATCACACACTTCTCCATGTAGCCCTCTCTGTGATAAAGAAACACAAGCAGACAATACGTTGAAGCTCACACATAAATGAAGCAAGCTAGCAAGGACACACAGATAGAGAAACAGAGAGATACGGGTACAGATTTTCAATCAAACAAAGACTGTGTGAGACACGTGGAGAGGTTCTTCTCTTACAGGGAGTCGAGGTCGTCGATGAAGGGCGTCGCTCCGAACGGGTCGATGTTAGCGAGCAGCATCTTGCTAATGATGGAGCTGCCGGCGATGGAGGCAGCCAGACCCGCCCGCAAACCTGCACGCGCACACACACACACACACACACACACACACACACACACACACACACAACACACACACACACACACACACACACACACACACACACAGAGACACACACACACACACACACACACACACACACACACACACACACACACACACAGACACACACACACACATACACACACACACACACACACACACACACACACACACACACACACACACACACACACACAGAGAGACATCAGTCACATGACACCGAGTAGAAATGTCCAAGTGGAGAAGGAAACTAACATATAGGTATATCTGAACAAAGTGTTGCTAAGTGTACGTGGAGGGAGTGTGGATCGGCTTCTCTTATTTAAATGTTGGTAGTTTTAAGTGGAGAGACAAGGTATGTACATTGATATTGGCAATCCAATTTCCAATTGCTATTTTATTTGTATTTGAGATGTTTACATTTTGAATTGTTTATTTCTTTTAATTTCTCTAATGTACAATGATGCTGCAACGCAAACATTTCCCAAATTGGGAACAATAAGGTACTTCTTATGAAATAAATAGAAACATGAGTGTGTTACCGGGGCAGATGATGCGTGTGTTGAGCACCGGGAGGTTCTCCTTGCTGGTGGTGAAGGGGGTGATGGTGAAGGAGCCGTACGCCTGAGTGCTGCGACTCACCTTCCTCTCCTCTGGAGAACAGGGACTCTTAGCAGCTGCAGAGACACACAGAGGAGACAGAAACACTTCAACATCAGGACCTTTCTCCACTTCAAATGTTTAATGTTGGGAAAATACTGATACATGAGTCCACATGATAACAAAGGTATCCCAACTATAGCTGTGTACATGACAGGATGTATGATTACCTAGAAGAGCATCAGGACTGTTTGAGGCAGATGATAGCTATGTGATTAACATGATGATTCAGCCTCTATGGAGATAGACATATGACAAGCATGATCATTTCTGACGTGGAGCTAATCTGAAGTAAACATTGAATACTGCTTTCTATTCCTCCATCTTGTGACTGTGTAACTCCCTCTCTTGGATATCAGCATGTGAAGGACACTGTTCAGGAACTAGTTGATGCTCTGTATGTGATGACTACTTCCATTCTGGAGAGGATCACAAATACATGGATCCTGAGATTGAAGCTCAAGCCGGGGACCAGTGATATTTTTCTAACATTTAACATCGATGCTTCACATTCCTCTTTCTTTATGGACACACAATGGCATCACTTTTTAATGAGATACCACCTTATCCCAGCAGGGGGCATAATTAAACACACCTCAGATGTTATGAGTAGGTAAAGCTGTGATAACAAAGAAACACTTTCAGAGTAAAAGCCAACTTTGGCAGTAATGGACAATAATCTATAGAATGAAATTGACAGTTAATAGATGGATGAAATGGATTAAAAATATAATCGAATTATTGTAAAAGAATTGGTGTGGTAAGTAGCTTCAGCATACACTACATTTAGTATGCAAGTTAAAGTGGCAACATGTAAATTACACAGGGTTTAAAATATATTCTGGTTGGCTGTTGTCCAAAAAAGTCTGAGTTAACGTCATGATGTCGCTTTGCTTTTGTAGTTTTCAGCTGTTTTGTGGATGCACAATGACAGCTTCTGCACACTGCTGCATAGCAACACTGCTCATGTTGACACCACGTGAAGGTAACACATATCACTGGCTTCCAATTCAGTTCAGAATTGATTTTAAACTCCTTTTATTTGTTTTCAAAGCACTAAATGGGCTGGCTCCGGCCTATATAGCTGAACTCCTCCAGCGCTACACCCCAGCCAGAGCTTTAAGGTCTGCTGACCAGCTGTTGCTGGTAGTGCCCAAGACCAGGCTCAAAACCCGAGGGCACCGAGCCTTCGCAGCAGCTGGCCCGAGGCTCTGGAACACTCTGCCCCTCCATGTGAGGTCGGCCCAGACCCTAGGGGTTTTTAAATCCTCACTAAAGACTCACTTCTTCTCTCTGGCCTTCTAGTCAGAGCGGAGCACGACTCCTGACATTTCCCTGTGTTTGATTTTTATATTTGCTGTTGTAATTTATTGTCTTCTGTTTTGCGATTGTAGTAATGTGTTATTTATTATTTGCATGTACAGCACTTTGGCTCGACCAAAAATCGTTTTAAAATGTGCTCTATAAATAAAACCTGATTTGATTTGATTTGACATACACCCAGACTCTGACATTCACTGAGGGATGGATTTAACAACCCGTCCTGTTCACATCCTCTGAGGGTTTTTCGATTTGTGTCTAGTTCAGGAAGGAGTGAGGAGGCAGAGAGAGGCGGACTGATACCTCCTTCTCTTCCAACGGCTGGAAAATGTGTGGAAGGAAGGAAGGAAGCAGCCCCACGATAAACAGGAAGCACTGCTGCCCCTAAGACAATAACACATCCTGTGGCCCACACACACACACACACACACACACACACACACACACACACACACACACACACACACACACACACACACACACACACACACACACACACACACACACACACACACACACACACACACACACACACACACACTGGTGTTTTCCCTTTCCTGTAGTGTTGTATAGGTTAGACCGGTTAGACCGCTTAGAGATGTCCCGCACCTTAGCCTATCATGTACAATGTGTTGGAGCGCTAGCCAATAGAAACATGAGACTCAGTGACGTCACTATGTTCTGGAAGTAAAGAGAGGAGTCCAATGGAGGCGTTTCAGGCAGGGGGGGAGTGTGTGGGAGAGAAACTCCCTCTGGAGGGAACACAGGGATTTTAGCCTTTGCAGAGCATTTGCACGGCATAATAGGGGCCTCTTTAAGTCAAACTAAGTATAAATGGCAAAATGTACTTAAAGGTGGGGTAGGTAAGTTTGAGAAACCGGCTCAAGATACACTTTTTGTTATATTCCATGGAATGCTCTTAACATCCCGACAGCAATTAATATCTGAAGTGCTTTGACAAAAAATCCATACAAAAATGTTCATCTGTGGAAGCCGTAATACTGTAAAAAGCACGACCAATCATTTTTGCCGGCCCGGCTAAAATAACTGGATGGCCTACCTGCCTGTCAGCCTTCCATCTGTGCACAAACTTATCTCGTGCCCTCATTGGTCATGTGCGCGTTCGTGTGTGTTGGAGGAGGGGCTCTGTAAGGAAGTAGCAGATTTCTTCCGGCTGTGTATTTTCAAATTCTAGCGCACTCGAGCCGGTTTCTCCAAAATGACCTACCCCACCTTTAAGTATTTAACGCACAAGTACCAAATGCAGAAGTACATCACTTGGGGCAGTGGCTCAGTCAGTAGGGGCTTGGACTGTGAGCCGTAGGGTCGCCGGTTCAAGTCCCCCAACAGACCTAAATATGGAGTGTGGACTGCTACTTGGAGAGGTCCCAGTTACCTCCTGGGCCCTGCCGTGGTGTCCTTGAGCAAGGCACCGGACATCACCCTTCCCCCCTCACTCCCATTGCTCCCCGGGCGCTGTGCAATAGCTGCCCACTGCTCCTAGTACTAGACTCCTGGTACTAGGATGGGTTAAAAGCAGAGAACACATGTCACTGTGTGTGCTCATTAAAGAGGGGTTTCATCCCTCCCTATTCTATTGAGTTAATGTACTTAGTTACATTCCACCACTGACATTTACTCCCACTATCGCGCACATACAAAGCTGCCAAGTCATACACACACACAGGAGATGAAACATGGAAGTGTCCCTGGATGGAAATGCATGAAGGTGCCAGGTCTGCAGGAGATAATATATATGAACATATAAACTCACATGTGACGGCCTCCAGCTCCTTGGTGTCCTCGTCCTTCTCGCTCTCTCTGTTCTCGTCCTCGCTGAGCTTCCTGAACTCCAGAGGAGACGGAAGCTCCGAGTCCTCAGAGTGGGCGTTCTGCTCGTCCACCACTGCACACAAAGAGACCACGCATTCAAGCTACATCCTTTTTTTAAATTACATTACATGACATGTCACTTGTTAGACGCTTTTATCCAAAGCGACTTACATACTCAATACTGTGGGCAATCCCCACAGGAGCACTTTGGGGTGAAGTGTCTTCAGGGACACAACGACATGCTGACTGCAGTGGGGTTTGAACCTATGCTCCCCTGATCCGAACACCAACGCACTAACCCACTGCGCCACACGCCTCCTTTTTTTATCAAAAATTATATTTCAACATGCACATTTTAACTTCTTATGTTATTATTCTATTTGATTTTTTCAACTTTAAATTCTTATGTTTGTAAATATCCTTAATTTATTTTATTTAAAAATGGAGCAACTGTCACAAAATAAAGTATTCTGATAACATGAACATACAACCTCACAAAATGAAATGCAAAATTGACAATCAAAAAACAACTGGAGAGAAAAGCAACATCCTTTACGAGGATAACATTTTTTAGTAATTTTGTAATTACGATAAAAGGGAAAAAATGCATGTGACATGATAAAACAACCTAAGGGACAAACAAAGAAGAATGTACAGAACCAATCAAGACACAAAACTAAACGAATAGTTTTCCTTCAGAACTCAGTTGAAAGTTCTGATAAAACCCCCAAAAAAATAACACAAACATGACAATTTAAAGGGGACCTATCATGCAAAATGCACTTTTGTACATCTTGTATACATGAATATGTGTCCCCGGTGTTCCAGGGAACTCACCAAGTGTCAGAAAACACAACCCTCTCTATTTTCCTCCATACCCAAATCTCTAAAAAAGGGGCTGCAACGGATCTGATAAAAACTGATCCAGATTTGAACACTGTCCTGACGTCAGGACGGTGGCGCTACGGCTATTGGGCCAACTCCACCAATCAGGAGGAGACAGCCACGGCCATTGCCGTTTGAAAGCGCTGGAGACGCTGTAGTACATATGCCAGGCCTGTAGGTGGTGCTGTTCTCACAGAATCTGCCCTTGCAAATCCAGAGCTAAAAAATGTCAAATTGAGCAAAATGAGGCATGGCTAAAATGCATGATCTGTTTGGTATTTTGAAAAAAGAAAAGTATAAATATGCCTTATATAGGTATGGTCCTACACTATATTATTCAAATATAGCATGATAGGTCCACTTTAAATATTAAACATATATTAAATATTTCAAATAGTCCCACTCTTCACAAGAGCTGACCTTTAGTTGAATTTCATGCAGTTCTTTTTGCTACTTTGCAATGTTTTGTGGCAATTATTTTTCCAAAAGGTAATGACCCACAATATTTGTTTTTTGGATAACCCAAATAAATATCATTTATTGATTGAGCTATTTTACCCAACAGAATAATTGTAAAATTGTTATGCAGATTACCTTGACTATTATAAGAGCTAACTTCCGCCCTTTTCCTCACCAAAACATGCTCCTCAAGCATTTCCTGGATCAGAAAAGGTGTGTAAAATGTCTCCAGGTGGGTTTTACCTTTCATATAGTGTACCCAAATGTATTTATATTAATTATACTAAGTCTCTATACTGGTCTATAGTGTATTCATATTTGTATAAGTACCTTTCTCGGCCTGCTCGATGATCCTCCTCACAGCTTTCTTCAGGCTGTTGGCCCTCAGCATCATCTGCTCGCGGCTCTTGAACAGCTGATGAGGAGCGGAGCGTCTCCCCTTCTCCGTCTCCACCTCCTCCAGCTTCTCCTTCAGCTCCGTCAGGCTCTCCTCACTCGCCTCCTCCTCTTCCTCCTCCTCTTCCTCCTGCTCCTCCTCTACGATGGGGGGAGTGGCGTGAGGGAGGGAGGAGATCTGGCTCTCTGTGTTCAGGGTCTGCAGGAGGGAGTCCAGCTTCTCGTTCAGGATGGCACACTGAGGAGCAAACAGAGGGTTCACATAGATAAGATCAGCAGAGAGTACACACGTCCTTTACTCAAGTAGAAGTACAGATACTCGTGTTTCAAAATACTCTGGTGAAAGTAGAAGTACTGACTAAACTTCTTTACTCAAGTCAAAGTAAAGAGGGCTTTGAAATGTACTTCAGTAAAAAGTACCCATAACTAGCAGCTGTTTTAAAGAGTACCTGACCTCCCTTTTTATTAATAGAACAATAATGTCATTGTTAGCTAATGAATGTTTCCATGCTGAACAACGGCAACATGACAACGTTTTCATTGGTCCCTCTTCTTTAGAGAAGACCAGGAAATGATGGATACACGGATCGTGTTCAAATCAATAGGCACGCAATGACTCTAAATAATAATGATCACGCCACCAAACACACATTCAAACTAAAGGAACCAGCCTGTTTGGGAAATGTGAGAAGTAGAAAGTACAGGTATTTGGGTTCAACATGTAAGAAGTAGAAAGTACAGGTATTTGTGTTCAACATGTAAGAAGTAGAAAGTACAGGTATTTGTGTTCAACATGTAAGAAGTAGAAAGTACAGGTATTTGTGTTCAACATGTAAGAAGTAGAAAGTACAGGTATTTGTGTTCAACATGTAAGAAGTAGAAAGTACAGGTATTTGTGTTCAACATGTAAGAAGTAGAAAGTACAGGTATTTGGGTTCAACATGTAAGAAGTAGAAAGTACAGGTATTTGTGTTCAACATGTAAGAAGTAGAAAGTACAGGTATTTGTGTTCTACATGTAAGAAGTAGAAAGTACAGGTATTTGTGTTCAACATGTAAGAAGTAGAAAGTACAGGTATTTGTGTTCAACATGTAAGAAGTAGAAAGTACAGGTGTTTGTGTTCAACATGTAAGAAGTAGAAAGTACAGGTATTTGTGTTCAAAATGTAAGAAGTAGAAAGTACAGGTATTTGTGTTCAAAATGTAAGAAGTAGAAAGTACAGGTATTTGTGTTCAAAATGTAAGAAGTCAAAGTAAACGTCGTCAGAAAAATAAGTAGTGGAGTAAAGTACTGATACCAGAACAATGTACTTAAGTACAGTAACAAAGTATTTGTACTCCACTACTTCCCACCTCTGAAGATAAGATAAAAAGTACTTTATTGATCACAATTTGGGAGATGTCTGCGTTGCAGCAGCATCAAAACACAAGGCATTGTACATTAGAGAAATTAAAAGACTAAACATCTCAAATAGAAATAAAATAGCATTAGAAAAGTAGTAATACAAATTTACAGTAACAAAATATAAAGCAGGATATTATATATACATTAAGTATGTAAGGAATGGAATATTACATACTCAATTGAATATAAATAGAGCCTCTCAGTGAAGGATGTTATAAAGTGTGTTTGAGTCTTACTTTGAGAGACATGGTGTCGCACTCCTCCGTGTTCTCTGTCGTTTTCTCGTAGCCTTTCCCCACTTTGGCAACAAAATCCTTCACTGTTTCACACAGGATCCTGAGGAGCAGGAAGGACACATCAGTGTGATCAATAACACGAGGGACAACAGGAAGGAGAAAGAAATCAGAGCTCTGATGAACATTGTAGAAACCAGACTGATGATCTGCAGATTTGCTAAGAACCCTTACTTGGTTTGGCATCATGCTAACAAGCTAAGAACCCTTACTTGGTTTGGCATCATGCTAACAAGCTAAGAACCCTTACTTGGTTTGGCATCATGCTAACAAGCTAAGAACCCTTACTTGGTTTGGCATCATGCTAACAAGCTAAGAACCCTTACTTGGTTTGGCATCATGCTAACAAGCTAAGAACCCTTACTTGGTTTGGCATCATGCTAACAAGCTAAGAACCCGTACTTGGTTTGGCATCATGCTAACAAGCTAAGAACCCGTACTTGGTTTGGCATCATGCTAACAAGCTAAGAACCCTTACTTGGTTTGGCATCATGCTAACAAGCTAAGAACCCGTACTTGGTTTGGCATCATGCTAACAAGCTAAGAACCCGTACTTGGTTTGGCATCATGCTAACAAGCTAAGAACCCGTACTTGGTTTGGCATCATGCTAACAAGCTAAGAACCCGTACTTGGTTTGGCATCATGCTAACAAGCTAAGAACCCTTACTTGGCGGAGGAGATGACCACAGAGTTCTGCTCAGAGTTGAGGATCTTCGTGAGGTGAGCAGCTACTGAGTCCTCGTAGGCTGAGATGTGAAACTGGAGAGAAAACACACACATTAGAATATACTTCTTTATCTTGTAGTGAGCATTAGAGCACGTTCCTCTCATCAGACCTCACAGCTTTCATTCAACTTTACTGCAGGATGTTTCTATTCCTGGGTCCAGTTTTGAGCCTAAAGTCAGTTGAAGTTTGATTGAAAATGTCAGGCAGTATTTCCTCCTCCTCCTCCTCCTCCTCCTCCTCAATGTGTGTGTTGATGTTTGTGTATATGTGTCAGTTCTGGTGTGTACCTGGCAGTGTCTGTGTGTGTGTGTGTGTGTGTGTGTGTGTGTGTGTGTGTGTGTGTGTGTGTGTGTGTGTGTGTGTGTGTGTGTGGCCTAGCATTACTATCCTTGTGGGGACCTAAATCTGTTTACACAGTCACGTGTGGGGACTCGCCTCCCTTATGGGGACAAAATGGAGGTCCCCATAAGGGGAATCATTAATTTCAGGGTGAAGACTTGGTTAAGGTTAGGGTAAGGTTAGGGTTAGGCATGTGTTGGTTATGGTTAAGGTTAGGATAAGTCTCCAGGAAATGCATGTAAGTCAATGTAATGTCCCCTGAAGTCATGTATACATGGTATGTGTGTGTGTGTGTGTGTGTGTGTGTGTGTGTGTGTGTGTGTGTGTGTGTGTGTGTGTGTGTGTGTGTGTGTGTGTGTGTGTGTGTACCTGGCAGTTGTCGGGTCCTTCAGGCGTGGTGGGGCAGCTGTGTTTGGGGGGGATCTTGATCTCGTAGGTCATGATGCTCCAGCGGTCCAGCATCTTGGTGCTGGCTCTCTCCAGCTTCTCCAGGGTGGTGGGCAGCTGCGTGTCGTCGTCACAGGACGGCCCCCAGCCCAGCACCCGAGCCAGGTCGTTACCCGTGCCCAACGGCAAGACCCCCAACTGGCACTGAGACACAGGAACAGGGGGTAGATGGCATCAAAAGGTAAGGCAAGGTATGTTTATTTATATAGCACATTTTCAGACACAGAGGCAATGCAAAGTGCTTTTCATCATCATTCACACTTAATAAGAAGACAACAGAAAGGAACTCAATAAATAGAATAACAGATTCATAAAACCTATGCATAAAAGAGATACAGAACAGTTCCAGCCTGTTGCAAACTTTTTTTTGTATGCATGCTTCTTAGGTAACATTAAGCTGTCTTTGGCTCTTTTCTGTTCAGTAACAGGATTTCAAAAGTTATTAAGAAATGATAAAATAAGATTATGTGGACGGACAGTGTTCAATTAAATCCTGAGTGATTCATTTTCTTATCATCAAGGTCATGGGTGAGTTTAATTGTGACTTAACCCAACTGAATCTAATAGCAAGGCAAACAAATATATTGAGGCTATTATTATTATTATTATCATCCATCATAATTATTTTAAGGACAAACTTGATGAAAACTTGAGAAAACTTGATGTTTGTGTGTGAAATTCAGAGTAAGAACCAAAAGCACAGTACGCTTTAACAAGTTCAAATTGCTGAAATGTTGGGTGTCAAACACTGAGGCTTTTTTAATGTAGGTTTAGTTGAAGCTTCTCGATGCATCTGTAACTCTAGAGTTTCCTCCAGTACCTGTTTGTGGAGGTTGAGTTTGTCGATCTCTGAGAGGACCCAGCCCACGCTGCCATCTCCTCCACACACCAGGATCCGGAAGTTATCAAACTTCTGAAACAGGCGCAGACTGACACACACACACACACACATATTATAAAATGGAATTTAAGAACACTCATTTAAAAGCAAAGATATTATATTAGAATTTAAAGGGTGAGTTTGTTTTGCTGACCCGAGGTGCGGCCCCCCGTTGACGAGGTCAAAGACCTGCGCCGGGTTGAGGAGCTGCTTGAAGCGCCGCAGGAACTTCACTCCCTGGTTGTCTCCACTTTTAGAGTTCACAAAGACCAGGAGGGGGCTGGCACAGGAGGGGGGGCAGGTGGCCTTCCAGAAGCCTGAGGGGAGAGAAGGCAGAGAGAAGGAGAGAGGGATGAAGGTTTTCTGGGTACAAATAACTACTGTTAAATATCACAAGTCTCTACCCTCTCTACCTGCATCACCACCACCAAAGCCTTTAAAGCTCCAACCTTCACTTCCTTCCCACCAGAGACTGAAGAACAAAGGGACCATATACTTTATCTGCATAGTGAAGTATGAATGCTTGTTGTTTGTATGTTGTCTTCTCCTGAATGTTGTACGTCTCTTGTTGTTTTTTTTGTATTTTTGATGGCACCTTAAAAAAAGCAGTAGCTCTACTCATCTCATTGTACCTGTATAATGACAATAAAGGATTCTATT